CTCACCAGTCGCTCCTCAGAAACCCTACACAGGGTCGCTATGGGTCGGAACCAACTCAATGGCACTTAACAACAACAACAACAACACAGGGTTTCTAAGAAGCGGCTGGTGAGCTTGAACCGACCTTGAGGTTCAAACCAACTTTGCAGTCCAGTGCATTAATCCACAGCGCCATACCAGGAACCCCAAAACTAAGGCTCCAAGAGTTTACAATTTTAAAAACTTACCAATGAAAGGCTAATGACTTGAAGACCTCATATCTTTTTAGTACTTCACAGTTCATAAAGCACTTTGTTTGAAAACAACTTTATTATGATTCTCAAAATAGTCTTTGGAGGTTGGCAGGATAGACACTAAGAACAAAGCAGCATTTGCTCTGGGACACAGAACTAGTGATCAAGCCTGTACTTTGACCCCAAGTCATCCGTCTTTACAAAACAGACAAGTCAAATATAAAAATGGTCCTCAGAAGGTTCTATGTACAAAGACTATTATCACCACTACTGCTGTTGTTAAGTGTCATTATGTCAGTTCCAACTCATAGCGGTCCTGTGTAGGGTTTCTAAGGAGCTGCTGGTGGGTCTGAACTGCTGACCTTGCAGTTAGTAGTACAATGCTCATCCTATAGTGCCACACCAGTACTGTTGGTGTTAAATGCCATCGAGTTGGTTCCATAGGGTGTCCAAGGAGTGATTGCTGAGGTTGAACCGTTCAAAGTGACATTGTAGCCCAGCGCATTAACCCACAGCGCCACACCAGGACACCACTACTACTAGGTGATAATTATGAAGAACCTCCCGAGTGTCAGAAAGTCTGCTAAGCACCACAAACACACATGCACAATCCCAAATAACCAGCTTACAAATCATGAGTGCCCTCCCTTAGAGCCAAGACCCTGATTTAGACACGCAGCCTCCACCACTGTCAGACAGCACACTGTTATTCTTCAGAGCAATGTCATGACGGCATTTCTGTCCTGACAGCACAAGGAAATTAGGGCAATGGGGAAGCTTCTGCTCACTGTATAAGCTGTTTGAAAATTCTTCAACAGAAAAGGATATGAAAGGAAAAAATCAAATCTCAGTCCATCAAAACCCAAAATGCTGCAAGATCATTTTTTTCTTTAACAACGTTGAACCTATTAAGATGAAAGTGAAACTGCAGGAAAACTATCAGAAGCACTAGTGATGTACGATAAAATACAGGATAACACAGCTTACGATGATCGAATGTTATTATTGTCATGTGTTGTCGAATCAGTTTCAACTCATAGCAACCCAGCAACTGGTGCCTTTGAACTGCCAACCTTGCAGTTAGCGCCATTAGCAGTCCAGTGCTTACCCTACAGCACCACACCAGGGCTCATGATGACAGTATAGTAGAGCACCAATATTTTAAGAAGAATTAAGCAATCCTCGCACTGATTTGGCCGCATAAGCCTACTTCTAATCAACTAATTAAAACAACAACAACAAAATAGGCACATTTTCGAGGACAAAGTCACTTAATTAAGCATATCACAGGAATTCAAATTTAAATTTCTTTAAATTAAATAAACAACTGATGGACCAAGACACATTAAATTGGCAAAGAGGAATTTTTCTTAAGGCAAGTGGGGAGTGGGGTTAGGAGGCAACATAAATTCAGGAAATGCAATTTTTCAACCATCAGAGTTCAATGGGTCTACTTATCAGGTAATAGTCTATTCTTCATTTTCTAACATTGTCAACTGTTCTACGAAGGAAATTAAATACAATTTTTAAAGGTTTATATTAAATGGAAATGAAACAACTGACAGGACATTATTCATTGGGTTAAAAATAAATAAATGAACCATATTTCATAGAAAAGGCCAAAAGCAAACTTGATTGAGCAAATGACTAGAAAAATCTAATAAGGTATTACCTTGAAAAAAAAATTTATGGAAACATTGTTTTACTAACTCTCCAAAATACTGTGCACAATTAATTACACAGTCTTTGTGTATCTAATATATTAAGGCAGAATGCTGTCTTTCAAATTTTAGAGTAATTTTGCAAATAGCTATGTTTGAAGACTGTTGTTATGCTTCTTCTAAGATATGATGTTTCCAAAAGAAGAAGAAACCTAGGAACATTCAGTCTGAATTAAAAATTTGGCTTAAAATTACATTTACAGATTGGCTACTAAAAAAAGATTCTTAAATGATAAAACTCTGGATTCAAATATCAGGCTACTTCCTGTTTTGTGACTACTATGCAGTCTTGAATCATATCTCAGTTCTGAGGCTTAGATTTTTCACCAAAAGAGTTATCTGTAGAATTAATTATGAATTATTTTAAGTATTAAAAAAAAAAAAACATGATGAACAGGAATCTCAGAAGTGAGTATTAAGGCATTTCTTTTTATTATATTTCATGTACATCTCTATTCCAACTAATTCACCTATTTCTCTGCTGTGTTACACAAATAGTAAACCTTTGCTTCACTCAACAACAATAGCAAAAAAAATTGAAAGTGCACCAAACTTAACGATCAGAAGACCTCTAGTCAAACTCTGGCTCTTCTATATAATCTTGGAATGTCAACCTTTCGAGGCCTTAGCTTGCCCATCTTCAAAAGATGGATAATAATTTCCTCTTCTCAGAAAGTTGTCACAAAGATTAACAGAGACCATATCTGCAATATACATTGCACAATTCCAGGCACATGGCAAATGCTCAGTAAATATTAACTGATTTTTTTAAAAAAAAAACAACAGTAGATTTTACTACTTCATATTCTACTTCCCATTTTCTGGTTTCTTCTAAAACTGTCACTTATAATTTAATAAGTTTAGCCTTTTCACCAGGTTAGTATCTTTCATTGACTATGTGCCACACTATAAAAGGACTACTGTATATGCTTGCCAAATACAATTCTAACATCTGAATATGAGAACTGACTTACATGACTTTATTAGAAACAATATTGCAGACTTCAAATCCCATTACCAAAATGGCTTTCAAATGAAATTCTACTCCTGTAATGGGTTGAACTGTATTGCTCCCCAAATAAATAAGTCCTAAACCTTGGGATAAGGAGCTCTGGTAGTGTAGTGGTTACGAATTGGGCTGTTAACTTCAAGGTCGTCAGTTGGAAAGTACCAGTTGTTCTGCGGGAGAAAGATAAGGCTGTCTGCTCCCGTAAAGATCTGCAGCCTCGGAAACCCTGTGCAGGATCACTACGAGTTGGAACAGACTTAACAACAACAACAAACCTTGGGATGTGATCTTACTTAGAATCAGGGTCTTGCAGACGTAATCAAGGTAAAATGAGGGGCATGCTAGCGCGGGCTCCAAATCCAATGACCAGGGTCTTTAGAAGGGAAAAGAGAAGATTTAGACAGAGTACAGAGGACACACAGAATGTGATCTTGTAAAGACAGAAGTAGACTGGAATGACACACCACAAACCAAGAAATACCAGGGATTACAAGCAACCACCAGAAGCTAAAATAGAGGTGAGGAAGGATTCTCCCTGGGAGCCTGCAAGGGGAGCACAGCCCTGCCAACACCTAGGTTTCAGACTTCTAGACTCCAGAATAAGTTTCTGTTGGTTTAAACCACCATATGTGTGGTGATTTGTTACAGAAGCCCTAGGGAACGAATACAGATGTCATAATAATAGTAATTCATACACATTTTAGAACAGAATCTCCACTTTGTTTCTGTCCCACAGTTGTTG